ATTATTATTATTATTATTATTATTATTATTATTATTATTATTATTATTATTATTATTATTATTATTATTATGAATTATTGCCGATTTCTCGTTGTTAAATATTTAGCTGATAACGCAGTGAATGGTGTATTAACAAAATGGGTGATGATGAACGAAAACTGAAGGTGTCAGGAATCTTACAGGAGGTTAGTATTAAAGTTTATGGATTACATAAAATGATGAATCTACGGCAATGATAGATTAGTTTGGTTTGTCATTGCTGAAGTTTGGGAGGGTGTCAACCCGGAAGAGTGATATTGTTAGGAAAAAATAATATCCTTCAGATGTCGAGGGTTTGCTCCCTCCTGGTTATGCATGGCATTCAGCTAAAATAATGATGCCTAAATTATAATTATGGATTATGCACGTGCAAAAGAAAATTATAATTATTAAATTTTGTGATCACTAACTTCATATACCGGTATATGTTATTGTATTGGCCGTAGATGGAGATTGGATACAGATGCGTAATGGGATTAAATGCTATAAAGGTGTTTAATATGGTACAGTACTCGCAATCTAATTACCAAATTTTCTTGATGAGATGCAACTTTACTTAACCAAATATACAGGATAGGGAATCGAAGCTTGATCAGGCGAGAGAGAAAATAGAACATAATATTAATTTCTTAAAGGAAAATCTTAAGGTAGATGCCATGCAGTTTGGTTTTTGTAATTGTCCACAACCATTGTAGCTAATAAAGTGGGTTTATGTTTAGCATCCTATATTAGAAGTGGACGAGTATCTCTGCGATGCTCTTGGGAAAAAGATAAACGCCATCGACCCTTCAGGCCTTTCGTGGCAAGACCCAGAAGCAAATATGGTCTTATGCGATAAATCAAAGATCATAGAAAATTTAGGAGACAGACAGAAGCGGGTTTTTATGGTAAGAAACAATTGTATTTAAGTGAGCTAGCCCTCGCATACATTTTTACTATATATTTATTATTAGCAACCACGCGAGAACATGAGATGTACCCTACCCGATCCAGTTGTATCTAATTATGATATATTCGTGGAAAATTTTAAGAAATCGTGGGTTCCAAGAGAGATGAGGAACATTTTCCACAATAATAAATGGAAAGATAGCAATTCGGTTCTTGTAAAAGTAGTAGACCGTATTTTAGCTGTACTGTAAGTACTTCTCTGTGATTTTTCTACGTCCATATTCACAATCATAATAACCTTTCTGATATCGGATATTAATTAGTGGTGAAATTTGGAATAACCCGGCATTTGCAACAAGAGCGTCTTGTGATGAACAAAGTGAGGGGACGTATATTACAGATATTGTTGTTTCCTTGCTCCGAGCGAGTCTGATGGATCTTCCGAATGGTTATATATGCTTGAGCACGTGAGTATATAAGTAACAAGTTGAGTGTTTTTGCTTTTATTATTAAAATATTCACACCTCTGTATTTAGAGCGGAACGTCAGAGTATAGCTGGCAAGGTTCTGAAAAATTTTGGAACGGGAAGATAGGCGAAGGGGTAAGAAGCCTGATATTATGGCAATAGAGAAATATAAAGAGAAGGTGATTGAGCTTTTATATGCTGAGAGTTCGCGTATCATCTATAGTAATACAAAAAAAAAAGGGATGATGATGTAAAATTGTGGAGGGAAATGTTGGACGGTGTTAATCTTGTAAATTCCGTATGTAGGCCAACTAGCAATCAATTTGGTATTGTTGGCTGACGAGGATATATTTCTCGACATTATAATAAATGATTCATGCGGGATTCCGAGACTTTTTCATCTAGAGCAAGCGGAAATTCCTCTGACTTTAGATAGGGCACGGCATGTAAAATTTCTTATACGCTTATTGCTAACTTTGAGGAACATCCTAATTGTAAACAAATCTTTGCTCATGCGTGCGTTGGAACAAGCTATCTCACACCCGCCTCGAAACTTTCGCCCAATCCCCACTGTTTCATCACCAACACATAAATAAATATTAAGGTAACATTTTATATACTTTCATTCTGTGTTTTATTTTTTTTTATATATCAATAAGGTGGTCGAGATTACATATATTCAATGTAATCAACGAAAAAATAAGCTAATAAATAATACGTACGGATTATGTTTGACAATTTCCCCACTACGTGTTGAGAATATCCAAATCAAGATTATTTGTCTCTAGATATCTGCATAGTTCTACAAAATTAAAAATCGCTTTCACATCTTGCGTATTCTTATTTATGATAGTTATGTGATTTTCGTCTTTTATATGTATGTACTTATCCCGGTTTTGAAATTGTAAATATTGCATAGGATTTGTAGTAAATCTACCTTGAGATTTTCGTCTGTTATTTCTAGATTTGCGAGATATATTAATATCTTATGTATAATAACGTATCATATCAAAGTATTGAGACACATTCAATTTCAATATAGATAAGGAAGATAAACATCAATCTGACGTTTACTGGGTTCTCGGTTTACATTATCAACTATGTAGAGAAAATCATGAGTTTGGATGGTAAGTAATAGTTAGATAATCAAGGCAAAAACATTGTTATTTGCATTTTATTTGCATTGCGATAAAATCAAAGACCCAGGGAATATCTATTTGCAGCAGCCGTATCTATTTATGGCAAATGGTAGCTACCAACAGCTATTTACAGCAGCCTGATCATTTATGGGGTAGTAACTTATAATTATATACATTATATACACTGTATTATTATTGTACATACTTTCTTTTAGGTGAAAAAGATAATATTTTCTTTTGAAGAAAAATAATCTTTGAAGAGGTAAGTGTTTTGAGTATGGAAGTTTAAGTAACGCAACTAGTAAGGAAAAAAGAAGAAAAGAAAATCATTATATATATTATTATTTCTTTTTCAAAAAAAGCAGATCTTGGTAAGGAAAAAAATAAATATTATTATATTATTACATTATATTACATTATTATTTTAATTACTTTTCTTTTTCAAAAAAAAAAAAACGGATCTAGTGAACACTTAATACGCGATTAGTAAGGAAAAAAAAAGAAAATCATTATATATTATTATTATTATATTATATTATTGCATTATTACATTATATTACATTATTATTTTAATTACTTTTCTTTTTCAAAAAAAAAAACGGATCTAGTGAACAATACATCAATCTCAGTCCATATTTCTGTATTTATATACTTTAAAGTTTATTTCTTTTTTTGATAAATAATAAATTTATCCTTTTGTTTATTTGATTTATATACCATTTTGAACTAACAAAAATCTATTTGAATCTTTTGATACTAGTACTGGTACAAAAAATAAATAAATATACTTTTTTTTAATAAAAGCAATATCTTGCTCATATATTATTTTCTAAATTTTATATTCTTAAATGATCAATTTCAACGACCAAAATAATTTCATAAATTCTTTTTTCAAGGATAATAATAACTGATTTTGGAACCAACTTTGGTTTATTGAGATTTTAATTAGTGCTTTGGTTTAACGGAATTCGGTTTAACGAGGTTTAGCTGTGTTTACAATTTTTATTATCTGTATATAAATGGATTGATAAACAAAACGTAAACTCTGACCAATTCTGTTGTGATGGGTTTCGCACAAAAAAATAGTTTTTCAATTTTTAAAAATGTTAAATTTTCAATTAATTACAATAATAGTTATTATTATAACTAATAGTTTTTTCAATGGACTAATAAATTGTCAGTTAAGTCCAAGATATGGTCATTGTGCAGTTCCCTTAGAGAATAAATTACATTTTATTGGTGGTGAATATCGTGTAAGTGCTAAATTTTTTAGTAATGGTAGTGATATGGTAATATTAAATGAATATATTTATCTTGATTTATCTAAATCATTTTCTTTGAACGAACCACTTCCTATAATCAATGAAACATATATTCCGGGTTTAAGTAGCTTACAAGGAGCAGTTTGTTCATTAGGTGGTAAAAGTAAAGATATAATTTATGCCGTGACCGATCTAACTACATATTCTTTAGATACCAAAAATCCAAAATCGTGGATCAATCCAACATTAGTTAATAACAACTTGATTGATAATAAAATGGTGAGTTATTCGGGTGGAGTGTCAGATTCTAATGAAAAATTGTATATATATGCATATGCAAAAATGAATAGTGATATGGTAATTTTGGATACTATTAATCTAACGTGGAATTTAGGTTCAAAGGTGAATGGTCCAGTAGGATTAGATAGTTACGTAGTGGTATTATTAAATAATAATAAGCTTCTTTATATTGGTGGCTCAAAAGATGACAAAAGCACCAAAAATTATATGAGTGAGGTAATAAATATAATAATAATAATATAAATTTATATTATTTATTATTTATTATTTAACATACCAATTATTTTGTTTTATTAGCTATATTCATATGATATAAATAATGATTCATGGTCACTTTTTGTAAGTTTTCAATAATTATCTATCATAAATTTATTATGATTTAATTTTAAAAATTTTTTTTTTTCAGACTGCTACTGGTGATCTCCTATCAAATAGACTTGGTCATACGGCAATATATAGTATTTATTATTTATAATTATTTATTACTCATTTTTCCTCTTGGTATTTTTAATTAATAACTACTTTGCAAATAATTTAGTTTCAGAAGATGGTAGGGTTATTGTATATGGTGGATTTGTGTATGAAGGATATCCATATAAGGGTAAATTGGCAGTTTTGGATACAAATAATAATAATTTTGTTTGGAAAATTCCAAATTTTATAAATGATCCTGTGAGTGGTGATTATCATATATTAAGTCATTCTGCCACTTTAGTTGGAAAATATATGATTGTTGCTTTTGGTTAGTTTTTTTATATTGATTATTTTATTTTATTTTACTTTATTCATACATATATTGATTATTTTAAGAATGATTAATTTTTTATCATTATTAAAAAATCAGGCATATTAAGGGGTTATAATGTTACTTCTGATGAAACAAATTTTAAATTTTCAAATAATATTTATCTATTGGATACAAGTAATCCATCTGAATATAAATGGGTGGATAAATTTGAATCAGGACTAGAATCTACTACTTCAACTCCAACCAATACAAATACTATTAATGATCCAAACATCAATACTAATAATAATAATAACATTAATTTAACCATAATTATTGGGGCAGTAATAGGGACTTTCATTGGATCAGCATTACTATTTTCAGTTGTGGGATTTTTTGGATTTAAATATTATAAAAATAGAAATAGAAATAGCGATGATAGTAATATAAATAGTACAATTATTCCAAATTATGATAATAATAATAATAATATTTTGAAAGCAACATCTGATAGCAATACTGAAGTGATTGTTGATTATAATAATGATGTTTATAAAAATGTAACATCTGATAGTAATGTCATTATTACAAATAACTATTAATAATAATGTATTTATTTTGCTAATAACGAAAATCAGAAATCAATTCCATGATTTATTGAATGGAAAATATGAATAAGATTAATATTAATATTTTGTTATTATATGGATCTCAGAATTACGATTAATACGAAAGCACCGTTGATATTTATTGATAGAGGAACATCACCAAAATGCCATATCTATCCGTATCTTAATATATAAATTCGTCGCGTAACTGCGGAACAATACTGATGCGAGTGTAACGTGATACGTTCATTTGCTCCACCTGCCTGTAACTCTGAAAATTCATCCGTTTTATTTGTTTAATATTTTTTTAATTGATAAAAAGGTGCAAAATTTTTATAAAAAATTATGAATCATGAAAGAAATAATAAATACATAATTTGTAAATTATGTAATAAATGTAAAAGACCTTTTGAAAATGATGAAAGGAGTACTTACTTATATGTGACAATATCTTAGAAAAAAGCGCAAATACTGTAAAGATTATTACAAGAAAGGGATTTTCAAAAATTTTGACCCGTTTGTTGAAAAATTAGAAAAGGTCCAAATGCTTTAACAAATGAAGATGTTGAAAAAGAAGAAGTAGAGGGGGAATCGAAAGAAGATGGTGGCAATGTAAATGCTGAAACAGGTTTAAACATGCATCTAGATAGGGAACATGATTTAGTAAAATATTGGTAAACAATTCTATTGATTTATAATATATGCATACATACCATAACATATACACATACTTTTCACCTCTCATCCAAATCGTCTATCAATAGATTCTAATTGTGAAAATAACAAAAAAAAAAAGTAAAAATTATTATTATGTATCGTAATGATAGTTGTTGTACATGATATGACACAAAAACTATTTCAACTGTTAATAGTCAATGGGAGATTTATAAATTTTTTTATATCACAAAAAAGTGTCTATATAGAACTCTGAACAACCTGGGCCAACTCGTAGGTTGATCTGTTGAAAAAAAGGAGACAAATCACGTCGCATCTTGTTCAAACTGACGTTTAATGTTCGAGTTTTGAACAAACACCTTTTCCGAGTTAATTTTTGATCAACTTTTGCTTGGTACTGTTTGTTAAAAGCGGTAGACTTTTTTCCAAACAAGTGTTAAAGCCAATTTCTAAATTATATATACCGGATTTTGTTTCTTCAAGTTTTATAGAATCATATTTTCCTGATATTCGTCCAAAATACAAGCAGATATCAGATCAAGATGAACAATTTGATATGAATTTCATATAATATTATTATGCGGAATTTATATTTTAATATTAATATATAATTATAATAATATTATTATGGTAAGGAACTCTCTGAGTTTGATATCCAATTACCCGTGGTGAAATATCACAAATTTAAAAATAAGCTCAAAATTTAGGTTGGTTGCATTCCATCGTTTATATATATGCTCATCTAGTTTTCTCATGTAGGAACTGTTAGCATCGATGACAATCACCGGTTACAAAGCAATCAAATGACGAGGCGGAAAAGAAAAATTTGCTCTTGGAAAACCAGATTACAAAATTGAACAACATCATAAAAAATTCCGGACTCCAAGCAAAACCACCGGCTTCTAAGCTATGGCTAGCCGAAGAATACTTTTAACACCTGGCTTATATTGATTTATTGCATTCAGAAAATCCATTGAATCTTTTTTTGCAATATAAACAAATTTATTATTTTTATTAATCATTGAAAAAAATAAACTAAATAAATACAATAATTATTATATCAATCTATTACTATTTTTTGAAAACAACTTTCTCACTCGGAATTCAATTGATCCATGAAAAATTAAAAATAAATAATATTTATGGAAAGCTCTAAATGCACTAATTATGATGATTCCTCGTATATAGTATATAGTATACAAAGCCAATATTTAGTTAACAAAAAAATGTTTTCTCACGAACATATAAATTCAAAGAAGCAACAAATTTTTTTTTTAGTCGTAATATTGACTGTCTTTGAAAGTTCTCCCTATTCTTTTTTTTTCACATCTTCAATAAAATAGTGTTTATTTTATTTTTTAAATCAAGTTGTTTAAAAGTTTGAAAATTTTAAAACATTGAATGAATGGTATGATGGTGTTGCTTATTGTTATACAATGGATTCGAAATAAAAATAATAATACATTGTTTTTATTATTATTGATATTGATAAAGATAATTCTAGAGTAAAAATATTAATTATAATATGTAACATTCGATCAATTCCTGCTTTATTCAACCTATGAACCATTTTCGTTTGAGAGTATGTACAATATGTGCTTCAAAGATACGATATGCTGGCTAAGCTTTGGTTGACAAAATAATAAAAAGTTGGAGTGTATTATCATATGAAAAATTATATATGAAACAAACGATCGATCATTTGCTTCGCTGATTCATTAACGTCTTCATTCGCAAGAAAGACAAATCAGCCACTATTTGCATTTTCATAGAATCCTTATTAGAGGAATACTGAAATGATGAAAAACGTAAACAAGTTGATAACACTCCTCAGCCATATATGAACATCCGAATATACATGTGATTTAATCGACTTGTTTCCTGTAGTTTAGACACTATTAACATAAAAGGATTTTTCACAATCTCCTGTACTCATGGGCTGGTTGATTTGCTACAGAGAGAAGATGTCGAACGCTTTTTTAATATCAAATGATGCCTTGTACATATCCTACATCAGGAACTTGTCAGGGTGTAAGTTAACAATAAATTAACATGTGTTAAATTACAGTAATCTAATGGACCTTACATTAGATTAACATTAATGACTAATGTAATTTTACAGTTATAACTTACATAGGATTACTTGTTTAATGCCA